AATAATAATTTCAGAAGTGGGAACAGTATATGCCGGCATAGTAGGTGTATTGTGTTCACTTTGGGTAGTCATAGTAGCTAAGGATATTTTACAATTTTGATATATTAATTTAAAAAAAAGTTTAATTTGAAAATATTAATTAATTAGTTTTATCTAAGATAGTATTACTAACGAGTTTCAAAAAAAATAATCAATAATGATAGGTATTTATCTTTGTCAATATCTTTCCAATGAAGAAAAAGTTTGTGGACGGCCTTGCTATTGACAAAAAGGATGTGCTATTCACTAGAAAAGGCGCCAACGCGTCCCCTGTTTAGAATGTGGTAAACCAACTACGTCTGAGTATAGCTTATATAATTTGCATACAGATAAATATCATGTTAAAGCCTACTATTAGCAGAAGAAGCTGGAGAAGATGGCGCAAGGTAGTGCTGAGATGAAAAAAAATACTTAGTGGATATACATGCATTATCTTAATACATATAGCTGTTACCAAAAAATTTATTGGTGATGCTGAGAAAAATTTTTAGTGACAGAATTTTTATTGAATTTTACGTTTTTGTACTTTTAAAAAGCTTTCTAGATATTTGTCACCAAAGTCACCAAAAAAATCGAACTTTTCCAGCTTTTTTTTCTTTTTTTATATTATAGGTATATTATATATATCATATATATTATATACTATAAGTGTACCATAAGGTAAAGTTTTATTTTTTCTTAGAATTTTACTTTATTTTTAGTGACTTTGGTGACAGTATATAAGAACAAGATAAAAAAGAATTTAAAACTGAAATTTAATAATAAACCCATCACCAAAGTTGTCACTGAAGTGAAGCTGTCACTAAAGATTTTCGGTAACAGATAGCATAACCAGGTAGTATGTAGATAGCATTAATTGACGATGGTGTTGCATTTCTGTCATCACGATACATTATGACAAATTTGTAAACCAATCATCACTCAAATGACGATGTGAACTCAAATTTGTCGTCACTCAAATGACGATGCAAGCGTGTATCATTCGTCACTCAAATGATGGAGCAAATACTAATATATCTCTGATGATGCAAGTGCGAATCATTTGTCACTCGAATGACGACGCAAATGCAAAATGCTTGTCATACCTGAGACTATAATAGTCTAATCTAAGTCATTTTTTGTTTATATAAACAAAAAACGACTCCAGAACCTTTGTTGTTTCTCCTGTGTTCTTCTTTGAAGTAACAGCCCTAGTGTTTTATTGACGAAGTAGAAGCCTACTTTGAGACTTTCTCTCTTCATCAAGATTTTTATACAAGGGCACCGCCTACCAGTTATCTTGTATAATAATGCTCTTGGCTTGCATGCCAAACGTCCTTTTAGAGAAGTCACCCACAAATAGTTAACCTCTAAACAAACCACAACATAAGGCCACATCTCTCCAACAAAGATTGTATTTTTTTATTAGCTAAAATTTTAGTACAAGTGATCATTAGGAAGAGTTTGTCAAAATGAATGCTATATAAATTTTTTGTTTATTTGAATATTCTAAAGTAGCTAATAAATTTATATCTGATAAAAATTCAATTAACTCATCTACAATTGGTGCAAGGTAATTATTTATTTGATACAAACTAGGTTTATTTGGTTCTAAGATAATACCTAATATTAAAATATTGTTTGGTTTAAATCATTCTTCACATGATAAATTATACAAAACTTTATAGATTACTCCAGTACTATGAACTATATAATCAAAATTAATAGCTAGGCTAATATGTGTATTAAGTGTTTCTTCTGTAAAAAATAGACTTGGGTTATTTAGATTTATGACAAAGTTTTTTCAAATATTACTCTTATAAATATCTGAGTAAATTCTGACTAGAACTTTTCTTTTACTAGAATGTATTAATATTTTTCAAAGCCTGCTCGCTAATACATTATATAAAGTTGTTGCTTTATATTTCCAATCAGATAAAGTTTTAATAAACATAATAATACACCTTCTTTTATATTTATTAATTCTGCTAATGGTTTATTATATATTAATTGTTTAGATATTATTCTATAATTAGAAAATTCTACATGTGTACACCTTTTATATACTAGTTGATTATCCACTTCATACTTTTTTATTTCTAATAGATTATATCGGGAAATTTTTAAACAGGTTGCCAATTGATTGACAACTAAAAGTGGCAATCGATAAACAGCACCCCTGCCGATTGCAAGTGATATAGATTTGAATCAATTGACAGTAATAGCTACTAATTAAAATTGATTAGAATCCTTTAATTAAAATCAATTGGGTATCAAAACTGAATTAAAATTGATTAAAGGCATTCAAATATAATTTTTATTTTTGTTTTTAACCAGATGGTTTTTTTCTTGGGTCAGAAGTATATATAGGCTTTTTCTTTTTTTTTTAGATTAGCTTTAGTTTTTGCTCCAGTTTTAGGAATTTTAGAAAAGTATAGTCTCTTTATTCTTTGTTCTGAATTTTGAATATATTTAAATAACACCTTTTTTTTTAGATCCAAAGGTATTTTTAAGTTTAGATTTCCATTTCGGCTTTTAGGAATTTCGGAAAATAGGTTTTTTTGCTTATCAATCTTGATTTTGAATACAATCATGCAATCTTGATTCTGAATACAATCTTGATCTTGAATACATCTATATCGGTCTCTATTTTTTTTTCTTCTAGATTGTTCAAGTGTATTTTTTAGGCCTAGGTTTTTTTGTTTTAGTTTTTGGAAACTTTAACATCTTTGGTCTAGATTTTAAATGCGGGTAATTGGATACTTCGTAGAAAAAATCTCAAATTGCTGCCGGGACAGGTGACAAAAGCAAAAAGAAATTCCAGGTTGAAGAACGAGGCTTAGAACTCTTAAAACTGATCAATAGTTAAAGTAATAGTTCCTCCAAAGGGCATTTTGGCAACAAAATAGATGAGTCGTTCGATTAGATTCATATTTTCGCTCTATTTTTCTACCTTTTGATTCATTAACGAAATAGATTGATAACTAAAATTTGTTTTAGTTTGGGCCTTTGCTTGTAGCAAATATATCTTTCTGCAAATTTGTTCTTCTGATCTGTTTTAGTGAATAATAGGTTTCTTGACACTCTCCTGTGAAAAAGATTTTTGCAGAGAAATTGACATGACTTTTTTCTTTTTTCTAAGTTTCAAGAATAATTTTGGATTTAGGTTTCATTCCAATTCTTACATCGAAGGTTTCTTATATCGAGGATTACTTGTATTATGAAGCCAATGCTGTGTCCCTTGCACTTCTTGAAAATTTGAGGAACGCATCATATTCTTTGCTATTTTGTATTTAAATACATTTGACTAACTTTTTTTTCTTTTTCAGGTATGATTGATGTCTTTGAATTTTTTGTCTTGGTCTCTAATCATACTTGCATATTTTAGGTCGTATTATTCATTTTATCTGTTATCCTAGCTTATGAATATATTTAACTATCACTTCAACTATCACTTTTCTCTTTTCAGGCATTGATCAAAAGCATCTTCAAGTTAGGTAGTTTTTTCATTCTGGTTCTAGGTGAGTATACTCTTCTTTTTTCATTATAGTTTTCAAACATTTTAAATTAGGTGGTTTCTTGAATTCTGGTTTACTAACGCTTTTTTTTTAAACGCATCAAAGTATTTTGTAGTCTCCATTTTCATCTTTTTATACGAATTTGTCATCATATCGTTGGTGCTGTTCATTATCATTTAGTGAGGTCAAAAATGTTCATATTATGTAAAACAATCATTATATGTAATGATTAATTTAGCATTGTTAAGGTTAGAGTTGTTACTATTAGAAAAGTTTGGATTTGAGATGTTTAATATGTGATGTTGCTCATAGATGCTTGAAATTTCATTTGAAGACACAAATTATGATGCAACCAAATATTATTTTCAATACGATTAGCTAGTAACTGTGATGCTGCTCATTTATTGTAATTAATCAAATAAAAAATTTGTGATTGATATTTAAACAATTCATTATTACAGTATATATTTTTTATTTATCAAATATCATTGTGCCATTGAATTTAGGTCTTTGTTGATACTCCAAATGAAGAAATTATCAGTGGAATAGTTGAATTCAGGCTAAAAGACAATAAGCATCCATAATTGTTTTTTTTAATAAAATATTTTATTTATATAACAAATAATCAATTTTTGACCTATTGATTAAAGCACTTGAAAACGCTCTTATACTGTTATAGCGCATAACCAGAAGTTTTTAATTAAAAATTAATGATATACGATTACTATGGATATCACTTATAAACTCTCACCATTGAACCAACTAAATTTTTCAACATTTCTTTGACAATACTTAACAGATCCTCAAGAGACTTAATCAGGTTATTGGATAACAAGTCAAATCTTCAATAAGAATGTGCATCTTAATTATTGTTTCGTCGCTGCCACTTTGTGTTGTGTTAGTTCAGTTTGTTTGTACGAGATAGTTTGTATTTGAAATTTTTTTTTTTAAGAAATAGCTATTGTTGAAATTTGGTAAAATTAATTTTACCATCATCTCTAGTGTTTTGAGTTGTTGAGTTTTATTTAACGAATCTGTAAAATATTAACTTGGGAATGGTAACCCTTCTAACATACCATTGTAATGAATTAAAATTTTTTCAATCAGATTAGTTGCCAACTTAAGTTGCAACTAATAGTCACATATTTTCAATAAATTTGATTAGCATAATAAATAATCTCATGTTTTCTGTATTATTTCAAACTATTCTGATTGGCTGGAAGAATCTCATGCTTTAAATTTATTATGTAACCAACTATTAAACTAGTTGTCAACTAGTAACTAACGATTTGGATTCATGGTGCCATAGAGGTTTAATAAATATCTAGCAAGCAGATTAGATGCTAATTGCAAAAAAAAAAAAAGTAAAATAACCTATAAAAAAAAAAAGCGCTTATCCTTATTGATTCTATTCTAATTATCTAACTACTTAGTCTTAATAAATTTTAATATGTATAAACTTTTTTAATCAAAATTAACACCAAAGAGTTCATCATTAATTTCTCTTGAATTCAATATATTTTCTGTGATTGTTTGCTCTTGGGTTTCAATTGTGATTGCAGTATCTGTATTTTCATTTTCACCTGTTTCTTCTGTGACAATAATTTTCACGGATTCTTGAGATGGGGCATCATTTTTTTCAAAATCATGCTAAAAAATTATCATATAGTACAATTAGAGATGTACTGTATCTTGCATTAGGTAAAACTAGTATACGTTTTACAAATCATACGACTTTGCCTGAAATGTGAAGTGATACCAATTTTTTTTATTTCTTTTCCACACATAGGTGCTTCATAAGTTCAGCAGATTATAGATTTTTGTGATAGCTCTAATCATTTTTTTATACAAGTGCAGTCAATAGAAAACCGGGCTTTTAATGTTCAGTTGGCTTTTGTATGCCATCTATGGACAGTCTATTATCGGAATAGATTGCTTGCAGAAAGCCAACTGAACATTAAAAGCCCAATAAAGGTTTTCTATTAACAGCACTCATACTGTATTTGATCGCTAAGATTTTCTTAATAAAAATTCATTTCACACGAGATTAATGCAATTTACACAAGGATGATATTAACCGACATCATATAACATAGCAATTTACAAATTAAGTATACTAATAAAATGCACCTAACTGATGTTGGTTAAATGACTTGTCAATAAAATGACTGCTAGTGAAGTAATTGCCCCAATCTTTACTTATGATATACTTTTCCACTCTTTGTTTCATTCAGTTTTCAGTGCATGCAATTCCTTTTGAAGCAGGGTTAAGAAGAATATCGCAGACTGCAAGAGTGAATGTATAGTGTGCATTCGTAAGTTGAGAGACAGATGCTTTGTTAAACGCACATCGTGCAATTACAGCAACTCAGTATGTTCCATTATTATCAAAGTACTCTGATACTTTTGGGTTGGTCTTCCACGTGACAATATCGGCGTTAGAAGAATTGTTTTTTAGTTTTGGCAACTTTTCTATGCCAAATACACAAAATGTTGCCTTTCTAACGTTAGACAGTGCTGTGCTTCGGATATTTTTCATTTTTAATAATAGCTATTAATAAAATAAGAAATTTTAGTATGTTTACAACCTAAAAGTTGTTAATAGTGATCCAAACAATAATAAAACATATAAACCACTCCTGAAGTGAGTTATATGTTTTATTATAAAATATATCTAAATTACATTAAATAAATATGTATTCTATACAACAATCACGTGACACATTCCAATTTATAGTATAAAAATTGCGAATAGTTTTTTAAAAGTTTCTACTTTTTCATCGCATGTTGTTAGGTATGCTATACACAATTATTAATAATATATAAATATATACCAGACTAAACCATTCACTATGAAAACGGTTATGAAATTGAGTAGGACTGAGGTCAGTCAACACATTTTGATATTTGTCTTCCAAGTATGCTTTTAATGTATCTTTTAGATCATCTTGTGTTGGATAGAGGGTTTCTGAAAAAAGATACTTTATAACTCCTCCAAAAATGGACTATTAAAAATCAAATTGATATAAACTAAATATGCAATATGTTTTATTTCAATTGCTAGAAAAAATGAAAATTTGGCAATCCTGCAATTTTTATTCAATATAAGAAATGTGTAACATACAATCTTAAAGTAAAAAAAATATAATCCAAAAAAAAAATCGCAAAAAACTCATAAATTTGCTACGAAAACTAGTCTTAAAAAGTTTTCAACACAAAATTTAGATGCATCGTCACTACTTCATTAACGCAAAAATCAAAATTTAGAATATAAAAGAATCATTGTTGGATTAGTCACGGGATTGCCAATTTTTGTGACATTACTTTGCTAGCGAAAAAAATACTTACATCTAATGCTTGAGGTGAGAACTCATTTTTTTGTTCAGCTTTTTGTTGTTTGAGTTCATTTTTAAGCTCATTTATATCGTCGCTATTCTTTAGTAACATCAAATATATTTATTTGTTTTGTCGAAATAATTGTTCATCAATTTAACGACGATGTTCTAAAAAAAAAATCAATTAATGTCATTATTAAAAGCATTTAACAATACTCAATAATACTAGCCAAAATTGAAAATTTTAAATATATACAATATATATTCGATTTACTATTCAATGACTTTGTGGACATGGATATCTGCGAATTATGTGATATATTGAATAGCACAGTTTGTGTGTATTCGAATATTGCTATTCAACATATTAAAATTTTCAATTTTGACCAGTGCGATTCATACCTTCAAATGATGGTGCTATTGGACTATAATAATTGGTCCCACTTTGGGGTATCTTGGCCTGGGACGTTTTGGTCCCACTTTGGGATGCCTTGGCTTGGGACATTTGGATTTGGGGCGATTTAGTTTGTTGTTTTTGTTGTCTAATAAGGCTTTGTACATGGAATTTATTATGATGAGAGGAAGATTTATGATGCTTGTTACTACTTTTTTGTAAAGATATAGAACCAATTCACTTTCCTTCATGGGAACCATTATCAGACTCTTGGGAATAATGCCAGAACTACTAATACATTCTTGTTGGGAAGAATCAGAACAAGATCCACTATAAAGATGCTTGGAAGAATGGAATTTAGGGGGAAAATTAGGGCACTTTCGATGCTTTTTTTTTATGAAAACCAATACTAAACTCTTGTAAAGAATAATTGCTAGAATTACTAGCACATACCTCTTGTTCAGGAGAATCTGGACGATCTAAATGGGAGGTACAGTATATCATTGTGAGTATAAATGCAAATTAAAAACTATAACCAATTCAAATATCTACTTACAATCACCTTGATCATCCATTTTTTCAAAGGAACCTCGATTAATTAAAAGTTTCTTCAAAGAATCTTTATCAGATATTAAATCTAAGCTTTTTAAAAAATCTGCGAATGAGAAACTTGTATAAAAGGTTATGTGAAGGGTTACGTGAAGATGAAAATAAACATGTACACATACATATATATTTAAATTTTATTATTTTATAAAAGGTAATAGAATCAATTTTTACGATATAAAATCTGAAATATTTGTCAGTTAAATGTTGAGTATTTATCGCTACCTTAGCAATAATACAATTATTGAATTTTGTGAATTCTAGAAAACCCACATATGTATTGCCATTGTCTTTACAATAGTACGTAAAATGTGGGATTCATAAGATTTACAAAATTTAATAATACTAATTATTTCGAAATTGACTCCAATTCTGTTTTGGACAAAGTTCAATTGTAAGAAGTGTCGTTTGTTCAATTGTGTAATTAAAGAATTAGGAAAAAACTTGTGTAATATCTAATATTGAAAGAAATAACGCATTATTATTGTTATTATGTGATCTCTACTATGTAATTAAAATTAAGAAATTAATTTCGCTAATTCAACACCAATTTTTTTCAAGTTACAACCTGTCGTTAAAAAATACTGCCTATTTTAGTTCAAAAATCTGTCAGATACAGGTTTAATGATCACTTACTTTTGTATTTTCCTCTTTTACATAAATTACGTAAGTATACTGTACCATTATACTAGAAAATATCTATAAATGAGTGCAATAAATATGATCAGTATTTATTTATTATACCGCATATTTTATTGTTAATAACTTTAATTTATTAACGTCATATAAATTGGAATATTGTAAAATTGCTCTTGATACTTGCTCTTTGTAAGTTCTTTTTAATTAATTAAATTTTTTTTTAATAGAATAGAGCTCAACACATAAACACTCAGTTCCGTGAGTTGTAGGCATATTATCATCACTAGTTACGACCTACTTTAAACCAGATTTTTTATATTGAGGTATATAATTAAGTTACAATTTAATTACAACCTTGTTTCGTTAAATATATCTGCACCCCAAGAGCAAATTATGCATAATACTGTATAACTGCAGGAAAATTCAATTATATTTGAATTAAAGAAATCTTTGTTAAAATATTAAAAATAAACCGCCTAATAAATACTCTTTATAATGTTCTTTATATGACTCATTCAGAATTATATTCAATAAATAAAGGATTAAGACAAACAAAAATAAATGTAAAATTACATTTTATTTAATATACCCGAAGTTTTTGTATATTCTCTTTGTATAATTTGGCAGAAATAGAGATTATACTCCATTTAAATCATTTATATTTAATAAAAGAAATCTTTGTAAAAGAACAAGAACATCCTATTTATAATACATTTTATTTTAGACATAGTTTTTTATATTAGACACTTGATAATAGTAAGGAAAATTATAAAAACGCGGTAGAGCAAACAAAATAACTATAAACCTAAAAATATTTTACTAGAAACTTAAGGTTTTGTTAAGTTGCTCTTTTATTTATACAAAATATATTCAATATGCGCTGGCAATGTTATTATTGTAATAAAAAATTTTCTAAATCTTATGCTTTGTCGCAACACATATCTCAAAAACATCTAAGAATGTCTGAAAGTATATTCACGCTGAGATCAACTTCTCGGCAGCTATATGCTCTTGATGATACTATTTGGAACATGCCAAAGGATCCTAATGATACTATTTGGAATATGCCAGAAGACTCTAATGATGATACTATTTGAAATATGCCAAAATATCCTAACAATGATCTATGGGTAAATAATGGTTAAGGTTTTTAATATGAAAGTCAATATTAATTTTTAATCACATTTTTAAATTTAGAACCAAGGAATGTCACAAACAATAAAGCCCAATCCTTTCGATTCTGAACTTTTTTTGAATCAACCAGATTATTTTGAACAAGCTTCTTTTTTCTCATCCAATTATCAACCTATTGCAAGTAATAAATTAGAATTTAAGAACGTGCCAATTAATGAAGACTCGAAGAGAGAGTCATTTAAAGATGCTTATCGTGAATTATGCAATTCAGACAAAGTATAATGGCCTAGTGATGCTTATTGAGAATTTATAGAGATTACTACAAAATATCAGCTTTCAGATAAGGCTGCTAATACTTTTATATATTTTTTCAATAAATATTCAAATTTGAAAAAATCACCTTTGCATTCATTAATGTGTGCTGGGAAAGAATTTTTGAATAACACGAATATTCAATACACAACATTTAAGGAAATTGCAGTCACAACCTTCCAAGATATCAAATATACACTCTATTATCGGCTAATAATTCAAGCTATTAAATCATTATTAGTAGTTGATAGTATTAATAAAGAACTGCGATTAAACTATGTTAAAAGCAGTGAAACAATAAACGGAATAAAACATCGAACCTTTGGAGAGCAATATAATTGTGACTGCTGGAGGCGAGAAGAATCATACATATTTCCTGACAAATATATACTTTTGATAATTCTCTACTCTAATGCTACGACCTTAGACCATATGGGAAAATCTTCTAGACACCCAATATTCCTATCTCTTGGCAATATTTCAAACTTTCAGAGAAATAAACCAGAATCAAAGGCACTAATTGGATATTTACCAATATTAATTGCCAAGGATTTAAATACTGCTCATTCTGAAAGTTTTAGACAATTGCAAAGATCTGTTTTTCAACAATGCCTATCGATTCTTTTAAATCCTATAGTTAATGAACCAGATCTATATTTCGTAGTTCGACAAAACGTAATCATCTTCATTTCACGAATTTCGGTAATCTTAGCTAATATGGTTAAGGCTAATATGTTTATGAACATTTATTAGTCATATTCGGCACAAAGACCATGTAATACTTGCCTGGTACTGAAAAATCATCTAAATAATCCAGATCTAAATCCAAATGAAATTTTGCTAAGAAATAATTAGAATATGAACAGGCAATAAAGGCTGGTCTAGCTCAAGAAAATTCGATTCATGAAGAACAAAATATATTCTGGCAAATAAGGTATAAATTAAAATTTTAGTATTAATTGTTAAATATATAACTAACAATGTTCTGATTAATTAGGAATTTTAATATTTACCAAGCAAAAATGCCAGATTGAATGCATGTACTAGATCTTGGTTTGTTTAAATATATGCTAACTTATACAAAAAACTTTTAACTAAGCAATGTAAAAAAAAGGTTGTTCAAACCTTTGAACAACGCTTGGCGGAGATTCCTAGATTCTATGGACTTAAAATAATAAAACATAGATATGATATGGGACATATGACTGCTGATGACTTGCGAAATATCATGAAGGTTATTATTTTTGTTCTTGATGACCTTTATAGCACACATAAAAAAAAGCAGGGTGTCAGCAATAAATATTTGTGTGAAGCATTTTACAAGTTTTTTAAAATGTATGTGGCCACTTGTGAAGACTCCTTTACAAATAAATCCTGTTCTGAACTTCAGGTATAATAAACATTAAAGCTTATACATTTTCTACATATTCTAGATATTAAATATTTGTTACCATTTTTATTTAGGGTCTCATTATAGATTGGGCCAAAGATTTTGTTGACATTTTTGCTCTCTACTCTCCAAGCAATATGTGACTACCAAAACTTCATACTTGGTGCTATCATATAGTACCTGCAATAAAAAAGTATGGCTCAATAAATAGTTTCTCAACAGAGACTTATGAAACTTTATATAAATACTATGTAAAAAATCTTTATCGTATGACTAATAGAAAAAATTTTATGAAACAAATTGTTAAAATGGTAATTATTTACTAAATTAAATCAATCTTAAT